AGGGTTCACTTCTATGGTTTATCTTACAAGGGTACAAGTGAATCTTTCTATGAGTAGAATATGAACGTTTTAACACAATAACTAAGAAAATGACATGAAGGCTATGTTAACCAGTTTGATGGAAGTGTTTCGGATTGTGTGTGAAAGCCTCACACTGTACCCCAGAAGTGCATTAATGTACACGGTTACCATTTAATAAAAAAATAAATAAATAAAAATAAAAAAAAATAAAAAATGAAGTGATTTAGCCCTGATTTTGTATGTTATTTTATAACATACAAAAGATCTATAATCTTTCAGTTTCCGAAGTTCAAATTAGAGAGAAAGAATAAAATGAGTTACATTTTGGGTCTAATGTTCTTGCCTTATCTAAACAACTGTAGATGGGGTGAGTATGTTTATGCTATATGGGGCTTTAGAGGCCCATCTCTCCAGAAATATCACTAGGCATCCATAAATTTGTCCCTCAACACTCAAGTATTCTACAGAGGAAAAATGATATGATTCATTCATCTCAACCAGACTTAAATAAACCTATCCCTAAAATTTCTGTCTACTAGCTCCCTTCTCATTTAACGCTACCAAGTGGCCTGCCATCTTCAATATTATCTAAGTCTAATGTGGGAAGTGGTTTCATCATTCATGTACCATAACTATGATACTTCTGGTCTTCTATTCATATATTCATTCAAAAATAAGTTCCCCCTGTGGAGACAGACTCAAGAGTGGTAAAGGACACCTATTAAGAAAAGGGTGTTGCCCCTGTCCTTGAGATCCCTACAGGGAATCATTCGTTCATTCAACCAGTATTAATTGAACTGTATGATACTAGTTAATGTTATAAACTATGTGAGAAACTGGAAGTAAACAAGGCAGAGGGTTCCTGTTGCGCAAAGCTTATTTTAGTAGGAAAGATCAAAAATTAAAATAATTATTGTAACACAACATGAGAGCTGTAACAGAGGAGAAAGAGGGAAGGAAGGAAATAAGAAGGGAATTTAGCCTCAGCTGAGAGGCTGGGGAATGCCTGGGTCTCACCCCAGGATCAGGGTCCTTTAAGACTTGTGGAGCTGGCAGCGATCTATAAAGAAAAATAAAGTTAGAAGCACTGAGAGATAAGGAGGTGGGACACATAGAATAGAGTTTTCAAAGGTGGGAACACAGGGGACCATGGCTAGCTTGTGGGGTTCACAGCAGTGGCCCTGAGTATTTGTTACACTCAGTTTTTGTTGAAGGCTATATCCTCATTAGCCCAGAGGGTACGCTGAGGTAGTGAACAAAAACCTCAGCAGTTTCTCTGAGTAAGCATGCTAGCTCCTATTGTTTTGGTCATTAACTTTAAGGGTTTGAGCAGCCGTGAGAAATCTGAAACCTGAACCTGTGTGTAGGCAGCCTCCTATCTGTGAGATTCCTTGGGGAAGGTTAATCCCCACCAGTTCACTGTGGAGCAGATGCCATGGTGTCAGGCTCCTCTAAAGAATCAGTGGAACAGAAGAATTTTCATCTGGTCACCACCCAGGGGCATCTTCCTCTGTGATAGGGTGTACACAAGCCCTCCTGCCCATATTTCAGGGCTGAGCTGTTCCCTTGATCTCTGCCCTGGCCAAATACAAATCTCCACAATGGGTATTTGCTTAGACTATTGACTGGGCAGGGGGTGGCCTGGTTAATCTTTCCACTCAGTCCTTGCATACAGCTTCCTCTGTAGCCATGGTTTATTCAGACTGTTCACAGACCCAGCTAGGGTGTTTGCAAGCTGTATCCCCCATAGGACAGGCTTCTAGGAAAAGCAGGAATTGCTCTGATAAGGAATTCAGTGACTGGTTTAGCTAACCTGTTTTTATTCTGCCTTGCTCAGCTTATTTCTCTGTTTTTTTCTTTTTTCTGAGAGTGTTTTCCCTTGGCAAGAATGGGGTCTTTGGTTCCCATTCTGCCTGCTGGGGAATGCTTTCCTGAAAATGTGGGCTTTAGGTCTGCATGAGGAGAAGCATTAGGACTTAGCCAGGCAAAAGGGCAGAATTGGAGGGAAGAGTATTCTAAGCAGGAAACATTATGTGTAAAAGTTTAGAGGAAATGAACACACACACACAGTATATAGTAACCAAGGTTACAGAATCATCACTTCATTTTAGGAAAATGCTAATCTGTTACACGTGGTTTTATCATGTCTTTCTTGTTTACCTAAACATCATGAAAATCCTTGCAAATCCATTGGCATAGATTCAATTCATTCTTCTAATGACTGCATTCTATTCCATGTTGTAGAAGAACTGACATTTCACCTATTCCCAAAGGGATGGGTTTCTTTGTTTCTGTCTTTGTTGCTAAAACCCTGTTTCATAAATATTGTATTCTTATAGATACTAGAAGTCTTTGTTTTTGATGAGTGTTGTTTCTGGGCTTATAGTATGTATATTTTACACTTTAATAGACATGCCAATTGCTTTACCCAAATGGTATAGCAGTATGTATTTTCAATAATTTTTTGAAGGCACCTGTCTTACAGTGTCACCAATGATGGTAGATGTCATTGTCATTTAAACTATTGTGAATTATCAGTAAGTGATATTTCATTGTTACTTTATTTGTATTTACCTCACTTTGGAGGTTAGACATCTTTCAGGGGATAGGATCAAGATGGTCAACTAGACACAGGTGGTTTGTGCCTCCTCCATGAAGAGGAATCAGAATGATAAATAGATACTCATGCTTTGAACAGATCATCTAGGGGAGATGGTCGGGATTCACCAAAGAAGCAACAAGAAGCCTCAGATGTAAGTCAGGAGAGAGTGCAAGGCAGCTTGATGTCCCAAGACATCAAGAGAGCCAGGAGAATCTCCCAAATTCAGGGAAACAGTGGCCCAGAGCACCTCCAGCTGGGTCTCACTGTGAAGGCCTCCACACTGGGGACCAAGAGATGTAACTGCTGCTGTGCTTTGAGCAGGGAGTGGGGAAGTCTGGCACTACCACACACCCCTGGGAAGATCCCCACCTGCAGTGGCCTGCTCTGAAGACTGAGACCTGAGGTCGGCGGCCACGCTACTCCGCAGCCTCTGGGCGCGCACAGAAAAAAATCATGTCTTCCTCCAGACTGGGGCTCCGTTTGGCTGCCTGTTTACTAAACATTTCAGAAGCTAGAAGAAAATACGTTGTTGAGAACATAGCAAAAGCAGCTCTTCTTGACAAAAATGGGCAGAAACATCCCGAAGTAACAGTGCTCAATGTATTTTCTGATCAAGACTATAACAGATCAGTCATTACAATAGCAGCTTCTGTTGATAAGTTGGGCAGTTCTGTTCTGGCTGCTTGCTTGGAGGCCTTCCATGCTACTGATATGGAAGTTCAGGAGGGAATCCACCCTTGCCTGGGAGCTGTGGACCTGATTCCGATTTACCCTCTCTCTGGTGTCGGAGTGGAAGAGTGCGGAGAGGTGGCCAGAAGCCTGGCCCAGGAGCTGGCCCTGCACGTCCCCGGCTGCAGTGTGTTCCTCTTTGGGGAGGCTGACCTGCCTGAGAAGCGCAGTCTGGTCCAGAGAAGGAAGCAGCTGGGCTGGTTCACAAGGAGGGACTTCAGTGCTCTTGAGCCTGACCTGGGAGCTGCCCCTGCCCGAAGATGTGGTTTGACAGGTGTCGGTGCTAGCCCATACGTGATGAACTGCAACGTTACCATTGATTCTCAAGACTTGTCTGTGGGAAGAGAGATCGCTGGTGCCATTCGGGGCTCCAGTGCAAATGGACTGAAAGGTGTCCAAGCAATGGCTTTTCCCCACAAAGGGAAAATTGAGATAGCTTGCAATGTAGAGTGCTTTGAAGACCAACAAGCTACAGACATCTCAGAAGACTCTCAATACGTGACTTACAGAGTCCTTGACAACCATTTTTCTTATGTGTCTCCTCATTACATAGAAGCTCAAGTTAAAAAGTTGGCGGGTGATTGGGGAGTTGGTACTATAGGGACAGCATTAGTTGGATTTACACCCCAAGAGTGCAAGGACTGTGCTGAATATGCTATAAAGGAAAATACTGGGGAATTCTGGAAGATTCAGGGAGGTATTTTCATGTGATCTGATCTAAGGGTTCCTTGAAATTTTAGGGAAAGTTATTAGTCATTACACATTTTCTTTCGGCCAGTGAAGATAGGGGGAAGCTACAAAGAGCTTGAGTGTAGCTGTGTATCAGAAAATTGGAAGCATTCTTTGTTTAGCAACAACAACAAATGTTCATATATTATCCATCATTGCCCTATGGAATTTCTAGTCATCATTAAAACTTTGAAAGAATCTCCATATGTTTTCCATAGAGGTTGTGCCAGTTTGCAGTCCCACTAACAGTGTATGTGTTCCTTCCACTCCACATCCACACCAGCATCTATGTCTTGGGACTTCTTGATAAAAGCCATTCTTGGGGTTAGGTGGTATCCCTTTGTGCTTTTAATTGGCATTTCTTTGATGACTATTGACATTAAGCATTTTTTATCTTGTTTATTGGCCATTAGTCTATCTTTTGAAAAGCTTCTATTCATGTCTTTTGCCCACTCGTTAATGAGTTTGTTTGATTTTTTCATAATGATTTTCTTGAGAAAATAATGTTGAGATTCCTCCAGGAACTTAAAGCAGACCTACATTTGAGCCGGCAATCCCACTACTAGGTATTTATCCAGGGGAAAAAATGTTATTTTATCAAAAACACACTCAACTAAAATGTTGAGTGCAGCACAGTTCACAATTGCAAAGATGTGGAATCATCCCCAGTGCCTGTCAGTTCATTAATGGATTAATAAAATGTGGTATATGTATAGTAACCATGGAATACTACTCAACCATAAGAAAAAATGAATCGATCCCTTTTGCAACAATCTGGGTGGAATTGGAGACCATTCTCCTAAGTGAAGTATCACAAGAATGAAAAAACAAACGCCATCTGTACTCAGTGCAAAATTGGAACTAACTGATCAGCACTCAGTGTGCACAGATAGAAGAAAAACTCAATGGAAGTCAAGCAAGTGGGAGGAGGGGATGAATGAAATTATACCTCACAGGTACAGTATGTACTTTCTAGGTGATGACCACACTTAGAACTTTGACTGAAGCAGCACAAAAGCAATCCATGCAACCAAAACATTTGTACCTCTGTAATATTCTGAAATGATAATAAACAAATTAATTAAGAAACAAAAAAAAAAAAAAAAAAAAGACTGAGACCTGAGAAGACTATATTCAACACAGCTTCAAGTCGTGTGGAGGAGGGAGGGAGCCCTGGCATTACCGCACACTCCGGGAAGGTCCCCACCACCACTCAGTGGCCTGCTGTGAAGACTGAGACCTGAGTCAGACTGTACTCACCACAGATTCTTGCCTACACTTCTTGCCTGGACAGGTCCCACACTCTTGGGTCACAGGGTCAAAGTGCTACACCCTGCCTTTGGGCCGAGTTCTAGCTGACATGGCTGCAGCCAGTGCCTCAGCAGCCAGAGGAGAAAGGGGAAAACCAGACTTTCCAGGGTGTACCTAGAACAATACCCACTGGCCTGCAGTGGGCTAGTGTGAGATGGAGATGAAAGCAGACAATACTCCCCACAGCTTTGAGCCCACATGCCAGCCTGGGACAAGGACCTGCCCTCTTTGATCCCAGCCCCAAGGTGCCATTTGAGAGTTTGTTGCTGGGCTATACCCCATCCTCAGGCTGAATTTGGGGTGATATGGCAGCAGTTGTCACCTGGCCAAGGAAGGGTGGGGAAGCCAGGCTCTCTTGCATATACCTGGAATAAGAGTGGCACACTGCAGCAGGTGCTCTGGGGCTGAGACTCGAGCTGTCCTCACTCCCCAGCTTCTTGCTCATGCTGCTTGCCTGGGTTAGACCCCACCCTCTCTGAGGGCATGCTCTCAGCTGTTGCCATTTTGAAAGTCTAATGCTTGTTCGTGGACTTGGTCTAAGTTTGAGGCAATACAGCAGCAGCCATCACCAGGGAGGGAAAGGAGACACGAAGGTCTCCTAAGCACACTTAGGAAAATACTCATCACCTTGTTATGAGTGGCTGTGGGACTGGAGACTAATCCACTCCACCCATTGCAACGACCAGCAACACCAACATGGACTATTTCCATCCCAGAGAGTTGCTCTGCTGCCAATACTGCCATTGCCCAAATCACACTAAGTCCCAAGTCCTCAAAACCTGCTTACATACCTAGTCTATCCCTCCCACTAGTAGCTTCTGAAAAGCTACCTGGAGGCCTTCCAGGGCCCACAAACACTGCCATGGGGCCTAAAAATAGGGACACTCACCTTACTGCTGCCATGCCCAGGGCCCTAAGACAAGTTTAATTGATGACCAAACCCCCAGAAAAACTTTATCACAACCTCAGCTAATAACTATACCCTAAGCCACTGAGAGAGTCACAGATGCCACTGACCATGTGCATTGCCAAAGGACTCATACGAAGACTATGCTACTAAAGGCAACCAAAATAAAAGCCAAATTATCACTCAGGCAACAACATATCTACATGTTTGGGGAAAAACTCCCCCATAGAAAGCAATTTCAAAACACTGGAAGAAGTGACTGCTATATCAGACTGTATCAGATGCAGACATATCAATGGAAGGACATAGGAAACAGGAGAAGGCAAGGAAAGTTGATGCTACCAAGGGGCCACAATAATTCTCCCACAATATATCCCAATCAAAAAGAACTCCTTGAAATGCCAGAAAAAGAATCCAAAATATTGATTTTAAGGAAGCTCAATGAGCTGCAAGAGAAATCTAAAAACTAATACAAAGAAATCAGAAAATCAAATCAGGATATGAAGGAGAAATTTACCACGGAGATAAATATCTTAAAAAAAATTGGAACTGAAAAATGTATTGATGAAAATACAAAACAGAGTTGAAAACTTCAATAACAGACAAGACCAGTGTTTTTCAACCTTTTTTTTTTTTTTAATCTCATGGCACACTTGAACCTATAGTTAAACTTCTGTGGCACAGTTAAATTATGTTGAACAAAGGAAAGAGTTAAAAAAGAATAAACTTACTGCACTTTGAACTGCTTTCAAAACGATTTAGTCAATGGTCTTGAAAAGTTTCTGTGGCACACGTAATCACTGGAGCAGACCATCCAGAAGGAAGAGTCTCATAAGTTGAAGACAGGTGTTTTGAAATAATCCAGTAAGATAAAAAATAAGGAAAAAAGAATAAACAAAGCCTTCAACACATCTCAGACTATATATAAAGCAAGCAAACTAATGAATCATTGATGTTCTTGAGGGGGAGAGAGATAAAAACGTAGGAAACCTATTTAAGAAAATAATTGATGAAAAATTTCTAAGTCTAGCAAGAGAATTAGACATCCAGATACAGGAGGCCCAGTGATCCCTGAAATGGGCATTGCAGGAAGATGTCATGGTGGTGTATTATATTTCTATAGACAAAAGAAAGAAAGAATTTTAAAATTAGCAAGAGAAAAGCATCTGGTCACCTATAAAGAAAACCTCACTAGACTAACAGCAGACTTCTCAGCAGATCTTACAGGTCAGAAGACAATGGAATGGCATTTTCAAAGTGTTACAAAAGAAAAAATTTCAGTCAAGAATTTATATTTTGTTAGAATAAGTTTCATTAATAAGGAGAAATAAAATCTTTCACATACAAGCAAGTGCTGAGGAAATTCATCACCACTATACTGGACCGATAGGGAATGCTCATAGGGGTCCTAAACATGGAAACAAAAAGTTCACTGTCACCAAAGCACATGAACTTCTCTTATGTCATTTAACAACCTTTTATAGTCTTCTTTATGCAGGGTTTTTTTTTTTTTTTGAGACAGAGTCTCAAACTGTTGCTCTGGGTAGAGTGCTGTGGCATCTCAGCTCACAGCAACCTCCAACTCCTGGGCTTAAGTGATTCTCTTGCCTCAGTCTCCCAAGTAGCTGGGACTACAGGTGCCCGCCATAACGCCCAACTATTTTTTGGTTATAGTTGTCATTGTTGTTTGGCAGGCCTGGGTTGGATTCAAACCCGCCAGCTCCAGTGTATGTGGCTGGCTCCTTGAGCTACAGGCTCTGAGCCTTTATGCAGGTCTTAATATTATTTTTGTTCAATTAAAATGTTTTATTTAGTAGTTTTCAGAGGCATTATAAATGGAATATTTCTACCAGCTTTTGCTAACAGAAAAAAAGTCCATTTCTTTTGGTGCATTTATTATGTGTCCAACTACCTTACTAAATTTCTTACTAAATTTTAGTAATGTTTTACTAAGGTCTGTTATATTCTTTAGGTATACAATAATGTCATCAGCATAAACTAAGTTTTTGATTTCTTCTTTTTTAATTTATAAGAATCATTCAATTTTCTTGTTTTACTTCATTTTCTAGAATCTTAAAATAGTGTTGCATAATAGTGGTGGTAGAAGGCTATGTATCATTTCACAACTTTGAAATGATATTTCACAGTTCTTTGTGGTGATGGTTTTTATCATATTTAAGTAGTTCCTTTTAGTGCTATTTTAGTAGAGTTTTTATTGAGAATAAAAAAGAATAGCTGCTGAATTTTATCAAATAAATTTTAGCACCTACTGATAAAACAGTTTGGTTTTTCTCCTTTAATTTGTTATAAAGAACTGTATTGGTAGTTGTAAACAATTCTTGAAATCTCAGAATAAATACCTCTTGATCAGAGAGAATTATTTTCTTTTGATAATGATGTGGAGGTCTATTTGTTAATATTTTAGCAAGAATTTTTACATCTCCATTCATGTTTGATATTTTTCTGCAGATTTTTTTACCATATTATAAAATTATTATATTTTATTATTTTATCTGTGGTAACTATTACTTTATATTTGAAGTTTCTCTTTTCCTTATCTTTTGTGATTTGATAATGTTGCTATTAATTCTCTTCTTACCTATATTCTGCACTTAATTTAGAAGTCTTCCTATAATTTTCCATTCAACTAGAAGTTATTATCCTTTTCTTAATATTCATAAATGTCTATTTGTATATCATTGTGTGACAAGACACTCCCCCCACCCCAGTTACTGCAAGGCTTTTTTTTTTTTTTTTTTGACAGACCCTCAAGCTGTCGCCCTGGGTAGAGTGCTGTGGCATCACAGCTCACAGCAACCTCCAACTCCTGGGCTCAAGCGAGTCTCCTGCCTCAGCCTCCCAAGTAGCTGGAACCACAGGCACCCGCCACAACACCCGGCTATTTTTTGGTTGCAGCCGTCATTGTTGTTTGGCAGGCCCAGGCTGGATTCGAACCACACCGGTTCAGGTGTATGTGGCTGGCTCCTTAGCTGCTTGAGCCACAGGCACTGAGCCTACTGCAGGGCTTTTGATCCAGC